TTCTCCATTTTATTTCTTTTTTTTTCTTATCTCATCTTCATTTTCTTTAGTCATTTTATCTCATCTCTCATTTTATCTCATCTCATTCTCTATGCATTGGTTTCATTTGGTCTCGTTCTTTTTTGGTTCAGTTTGATTTCTTCAATTAAACTGGTTGTAAGGGTAAAATTGTAATATAGTCAACTTTCAATTAAAATCCGATCAAATCCAATCTATTTTGGATGGAAATTTTTTTGGGACAAAACGGGATTTTAAATCATATTGGATTTCAAATTCTATTTTTTTTAATCCAACCAAACACGAAAAATGATTTTCCTCATAAATCTGAGGAACTTGTAGAGTAATTATTTGTGTTTCGCGAGTTTTTTTTCCTTTTTTATTTAAGTGATAAGAAGTCGTAAACAGTTGAAAAATCTTCTTAACATTTATCTTTTCTTATATTCGGTACCTTATATTGGGTAAGGCAGTATAAATGTGGTTTCAATTTATCTTTTCTTATTTTTTTATTTGTTGCTTGAAGTTTTGCGTTGCGTCTATTTTGATTTAATTCTGTTATAATTGATATTTCGGAACCAGAAAGATAATATTAGTGGACTGTTTTGTCCTTACCAGTAAGGATGTTTATAAAGGATGTCAACCGTTAGAACTGCTCCAACTTCTGTTCGTAGAGAATTTAACTTTTGGAGGGAAAAATATGACCCTTTTTCCTGCCTAATGAGAAAAATGAGTTTAGGCAGAAAATGGAACTAGGTCAAAATTGACAAAAGTCGGCGACGTAAGCTCGCTGACTCGGAACACTCGGAGATAACCTGCACAAGATTAGGACAAACTCTCTCACGCTCAAGTTAGTGAAACAGCTCGGACTCAATAGTAAGTTCAAGAAGAAATTTTATATCTGGTGCGAAAATAGTGCCCTCTATTTATAGGTTTGGGATTCGACAGACCTCCCGATCGACAGCGTCGAATGGCAGATCGGACATGTCGGACTCTGCATGCCAGTCCTTGGAGCAAATCAAGCTTCTTATGAGAAGAGTATAACAAATGATTGCCTAGGTCTCCATCTCGGAAGGTTTGAGGTAAAGCTGACTCAGATTATCCCTCACGTGGATATATTCCTGTCCTCCATATGACATAGCGATTTTCTTCCCTAAACAAAATGATTTATGCTAGATCACCCAAATAGATTTGTTAGATTTTTTATAGGAAAGAAAATGCTTTATGAAATATTAACTTTTGGTTTGTTAAAGACTGATAAGTGAAAGATAATTTAAAGATAAGTGAAAACTTATGTTTGGCAAGAGGTAATTTAATGACCAAAAGTTTATGCTTACTAAATAAATTCAGTCATTTTTGTCGTGTATAATATGATTGAATTTCGAGTTGGTAATATTTTATAACATGGTTTAATCATATGAAAAAGAAAGGGAAAAAAAAGGAAGGTAGGAAGGAAAAAATATTGGTTTATAATTATTTAGGTTAAATGTATGTAGCTTTAAGAAAATAAAAAAAAAAACGTAATCAACACTTGTATCTATCAAGAGGGCATGAGTTCAAATCCTCAAGCACTTCCTGTTAACAGGAAGCCACATAAACTTTAAAGAAATGGTCCTTAGCATGAGGAACAGGAGGATTAAAGATTCTCGAAGGATGATATTGAAATCTTACTAGAAAAAGAAAATCTTACTAGAAAAAGAAAGACGGAAAAAAAAATTTAGTTTTGCAGTGAAAGTTGCGGATCTTTTCGCCCCCCTCTCCCGACTCAGTCACATGCAACCAGGCTTGAAACCCGGCCCACTCTCCCTTCTGTGCCCCCAGACCAAAAAAAAGTATGGTCTTTCTGAGAAGAAAGAAGAGCATATCTACCTTGAAGACCTTCTGGAAAGTCGCCTATGGAAAGAGCATACCCAACCAATATGAGCCTGTCCGAGACTTGCCATTCCCATGGAAGAGAGTTTCCCTGCGTATTGATTCATTACCGACTGAACGGGAAATGCTTGCTTCTATTCTTTCTCTCCGAGCGATGAACTGTGGTTGTCTAGCTGTACGGAATCCCTGGGGAGTGAAGGGATAGGTGGAACAGGAGGGGATGGAAGAACTACTGAAAGTCATCCATAAGATTGAATACCTTTCTGGCTATACGGAAGGGCGGAATGGATCATCAATCAGAGGGTGGAAATTTCCTCCAATCGGAATACTTTCTTTTCCATAGGGATTGCATACCCGGATTAATCACTTCACGGGGGAGAACACGAGGGATGAGCGATGATCNTCATGAGTCATGCCCAGCTCGGACGCCCGAGATCACCACCGCTAGCGTTGACAGATGCTAAGTATGAGGGCCGAGGTCCGACCTACCGGGAAGCTCGGTGGGGGCCGATGTGAACTACTGTCAGCGGCGTGATTATCAGGTGTAACCGTCGGTCCCGAGATTACTGGGTGAAACCGACGGTCCCGAGATTACCGGGTGTAACCGTCGCGGGATTAGCGGGACTACCACCCATAAGTAGAGGACCACACTTCGCGACCAGGTACGATGATTTCTGACCTCGAACTAAACTGGGAATTCGACCTATACTGACTTGATCGTCGGAGTGCTCACCTTTTTGTGCAGGTCCGCCCAAGTATTCAGATCGGTCCGGAGGCCGAGTTCGAGCTGCAATCTGAAATACATTGTTGTGCATATCCTTGCATAAACAGTCCAAAAGGATAGCTTGAAGCCATCAAGTAATGATTCCTTGCGTATGTATGTATATGAACTTTTTTTTAATTTAATGAACAAGTGATTTTGTAAAACGGATTTTATATTATTATTTTAATATTTGGTTAATACATTTTATCTAATAATTTTTATATAATTAAAAGTGATTTTGAATAATTTAAGTTTGATTTGAAAGAACCATCAATTTATTAATATATATTTGAAAAATATTTAAAACCATTTATTAAGGAATTATAATGAAAAACACATGATATATATAACTAAATAACCAATCTAGAATAATGTTTCAGAGAGATAAATAAATTTAGAAAAAGATGAAGATTTAAAAATTTAGAGAGTACAGACAAAATTAAAGATAATAAAATGATAGAGATAATAAATTTTAGAAAAGAAAAAGTATTTTTTTCCTTTAAAATTTATGGTATTTTAGGAAATATTTGAAGTTTAAAACAACAAACATTCTAAAAACTAAATTCCTCAAAAAAAAAAAAATCATTTAGATTTAAGACTAGAATCACTTAAAATTATTTATGAAATCATTACAAATACGCCTATTTAACATGAGTGAAAGTGATAATAGTCATACTAAAATCACTTACAAAACTATTAGTAATTAAGTTTATCGTCAATCTCAATCTTCTAAGTCTGGAAAAAATAAAACAACAAAAGAAGAGAAGAGTACCTAATTAGTAATTACCTCGTGATGTTTATTATAAACTGCGAAGACACTTGTGTATTGTTGGTAATAAAAAGCTGTGTGGCCATTTTTTATCTTGCTTGTTGATTTAGCCTTTCAAGCATGGGTGTTTTCAATATAAATTACACATCAAAGCCACCGCCTAAAATTAGGTTCGAGAGTGATAATAGAATGGATGATTTTGAAAAACAAAAATTAAACATAAAATGGATACTTTAAAAATCAATTTTAAGTAATTTTAAACTTTCTTAAAATAAAAATTTTAATTTGTCAAACATAATCAATGAAAAGTGAAATGAGTTTGACAATAACAAAAATGATTCCTAAACACACACCAAACACAGCATGAAAGGATTGTTCGACCATACTGTTGTTGTACAATTAAATTGTAGGATCAGGACAACATTTTATGAGCTCTTCTAAGGCATCAATGGCCTCCAGAAGCAGTTGTTTATAATGCATAGTTGATCAACGATGACTCAATCTTGGGTTTAAAATATAACTATTTTTATGAGTTTGTTTATATAACATTTACAATAAATAGTTAATGACGATTAACCTGACTCAATTCATTAAAATATCCATAATTTCAATTTTTTCTATGAATCAAACGTTTGGATTCTCCCTTTCCACAATTTTAATATTATATTCTAAAAGTTATATATGTAATAACAACCAGGATTGGTCCAAACGAATCAAAGTTAAGTCAAAAGGATGCCAAGGAGGCTTTGGCATCATGCTCCACTGCCTCAACACCAGAAATTATTAATCTTAGTCTATTTGTTAATTATAGTATGAAGTATGCAAAAGTTGAGACCACACTAAATCCTTTGGTTGGAAACTAAACATGTACATTTCGAGATACATTTATATTGTTGATGGTCAAAATCAGAATCGACACATGTGACTATCAACTCAGCTAAGAGTAACCATATAGCAGAAAATGGACCATTGGGACCCACCGTGTTGATCCATACCGAGCTGAGGTAAAAGAAAGCCCCCCGACCGTCGACCCGACAACCATAACCGCATATCGTATAACCACATAACGGTCCTGTCTCCGCCCACCTACCTATAAAAGGGATACTCCACTCATTGAACAGTTATGCAATTTCTTCTGAGAATGATTTGAACAGCTGGAGCTCGCAACTAACTTAGGCGTCAGAGTGTTTGTTCCATGTGCAGGTCTAGTCGTGAGCAACTCGGCAGATCGTCCTCATTAGCAGGTGACCGACGACCGTGAGCTCGGTGGAAAACTGCATCAACATAAATGAACTATAGTACATTCATGTATTTAGTTTTTTAAGATGAACTAGTTGTACTATGTTCATGTATGTATAGGTTCATAGGATTGAAAGGTTATGGATCTAGATATTTCCATGGATTCCTATAAATAGAATGATTTTTTTGTTTTATTTCAAGCAAGTGTGTAAATAAGAAAAATAAGAGAGTTTGTGAATCAAATGTGTGCGTGTTTTT